CTTTAATGAAGATTTAACTATCGATATGAAGGGTAAATGTGGATCGTGCTGGGCTTTTAGCACAACAGGAGCAGTTGAAGGAGCCCATTTTGTCTCCACCGGGGAGCTTGTTAGTCTTAGCGAACAACAACTCGTGGATTGTGATAAAGCGGTATGTGTTAATCCATTCATTTCATTATTTTCAATCTCAGATAGATATATATTTATGGATACTAATTTGTTTGCAAGCTCCAAAAATTTTATGCGAGTATAGTGCGATCCAAAGGACAAGAAAGCGTGCGACAGTGGATGTGGTGGGGGACTGATGACAAATGCCTACGAGTATTTGATGGAGGCAGGAGGCTTAGAAGAGGAAAAATCATATCCTTACACCGGTAAACGAGGCCATTGCAAGTTCGATCCTAATAAGATTGCAGTAAAAGTAGTGAACTTCACCAATATACCATTGGATGAGAACCAAATCACAGCAAATTTAGTACAACATGGTCCCTTAGCAGGTGATTTAACTAGCATGTTTGTTATGTTTGAAATGTGAATTAGGCAAAAAAATTATCTAATGCTTTTGTTGTTGTTGTGTTGAACACAGTGGGAGTAAACGCAGTGTTCATGCAAACGTATATAGGAGGAGTGTCGTGTCCGCTTATATGCAGCAAGAGAAAGGTTAACCACGGGGTACTTCTTGTTGGGTACGGATCAAAAGGGTTTTCACTTTTACGGCTTAGTAACAAACCGTATTGGATTATCAAGAACTCGTGGGGGAAGAAGTGGGGAGAGAATGGGTACTACAAGCTTTGTCGTGGCCACAATATGTGCGGGATTAACTCTATGGTTTCTGCAGTGGCTACCCAAGTTTCATCCTAGATAGGTCTTGCCTTTTTTAAGGAAACCCTCTTGCACTCTCTTGGTATTAGGAGTGAAGTTGGGGGTTTGAATACTGGATATCTTTGTGTTGTCTTGTAGTAGCAAATCACTTCTCAGAAATATAAGGATATATCTCACTAAAGGTTTAGCTTGACTCATGCGAAAACTTCAAAAGCTTTCAAAATTCATAATTTTGACATTCATTCATGTTTATTTCTGAATATTTCGAAGATCTTTCCTCATTCAAAGTACAAATGCTATTCGGTTCCATCGGCATATCATTTACGTATACCAACAAATATAGTCTAGAGTTTTGATTAATACTAAAATGGGCAAAAAACAAATTGGACTTTGGAAGAGTTTCTATAATCATATCAATGATTCCATGCTTTACTTGCTCAAGGGCCTCTTATCTTGAGCTTTACGGCCTTTTTTATTTATTAAGTGGGCTACATTTAGGACTTCTGGATACGTCTTCAATTGGCCTTAACAAAAATTTAATCCGAGCAAAGCTTCAAGTGATCTAACAATAACACTCTTATAATAATTATTAAAATGTAATGGATGCACCAACATCCATTTTCTTTATCTGTCTTTAGGCGCTAATCGAGTATTCAAATATGGTTTACTGATTAACCATTAACCAAAGATATATTTAG